GCTCTTTTTTACAGCAGGATCTTATTTTATAGCGATATATTTTTCACTACTTTCTAGACAAACTAGAAATTTTTATATGATATGCTCGACAGTACCAGGCGACCATGTTTTGTGAAGGGTGACTAAAATTATTCCTTTGATGAATTAAAGTCACCTGACTATTTATTTTTATTGGCAGTTCTAGTTTCTTTTTTTTTTTTCTTTTTCTTTTTTTTTTTTTTGTTTCAAGAATTCTATGAAAAAGAAAATTAGTGATCTAAAATGGTAATAAAACTATATTTAAAAGTGTTGAAGTTTGTTTTCCACATTTTCTATTAGAATATTTTATATATAAAATTTTACAAGCACTTAAATGTGTTTAATAAAATACTTTCTAAATAAAAACTAAAAAGTTTTATTGTTTAAACAAAAATATTATTTAATTTTAATTTCTTTGCAAATTTTATTTAAGTATTTAGAGATAAAGTAATAGAACTAAATTTGCCAAAAAAAAACTTTGACCAGCATTTTTAAGAAGCGTTCACAGCTTGCATTTTTTGTTAACTTCAAAAGTGTTAGATGAAAACTTTTTATTTTAATACTTAAATTATCAATATTAAAATATAGTTTAAATATTTCGAAAAAAAAAATTTGCTTAACTGAACCCTTTTGAAGTAATCATCACATAAACGATCGTTTATGTGATATTTATTCAGAAAATATTCGTAAATAGTCGTAAAAAAAAGACATTTAACTAGTACTGAGAGTTTTTTTTTAAAAAAAACAAATTATTTTATATAAAATTTGTTAATTTTAAAATACTTTAAATTAAATATGATTTTAAAGATTTTAGTTTTGTTTTGAAGGAATGTAAAATAGTAAAAAGTTGAATGTAAAATTTAGTTTCAAATGATTATAAAATAGTTTTGCAACTTTTATAAAAGAATTTTTTTTTATATGGCCTGCAAAATAATTCATTATGTAAAACATAACGAATTAGTTTGCAAATGATAGATTTGAACATTTATGAACATAAATTATGTTTACAAATATCTTATTGGTAACTGATATAATTTATCTATAAATTGTTTATATTCTTTATTAAAAATACTACATTGAATATGTAAAAAATAAAATAAATAAATAAATTGTGATAAACAAACAAAAGATTATGTTAAGTCTAAGATAGTTTTAAGACATTAATTATAGTTTACAATACTGGTTTTACTTACGCAAATTATTGTCTTGCCCTATAATGAAAAATAAATAGAATATGTGCAAACTCTGCTGAATTCAAAAATTTGTGTGAAAAAAAATCCAAAATAAATTTAAGGCTTGAAGGGATATTGTTTGAAGAATAAAAAATTGTTTTAATAATAGCAATTTTAAACAAAATCAATGCTTTTTTAAAAGCGCAAACAGGCAATTTATAATTTCTATTTTATTTAAAAATAACTCATTTCATTGCAATGACTATGCAAATGGTGGGAAAAGCCGAGCTAAAAATAATCGAAAAGACTAAATGAAAAAAAAAGTACAGTTAAGATTAGTTCTTAATTATATATAATAATTTCGAGTAATAATGAAATAAATCTCTGAAGTTAACAAATAAAAACTTTCGCACATTTTATATGCCTTGCTCATTAAAAACATTTCAAAAACCACTAATGTTAATTAGTTAATAATAATGTTACTAACTCTTGTTTGCAACTTAAACTGTTTAAACTAAATGTTTAATGCTTTAAATATTTTTAAACATTCTTCTTCTTTATATTAAACAATTTGTTAATAAAACAAATTTTATATTTTAAAATAATAAACAATTTGTTTAATAAAACACTATAAAAATTATTAAATTTACATAAAACAAGATTTTTAATAAATCTATATATATATATTTTTTAATAATCCTGTTACAAAAAAAAAAAAAAAAACCCTAGCGCTCAATTAGTAATTTTTAATTTATCTAAAAACCATTCATTCATTTATTTGTAATTTGCTGCAAAACTTACGAGAAAATGAATAATAAGACTTACAGAAAAATAAAGCAAATTAAGTGCAGATGAAAGAAAAACTGTTTATAGTTAAAAATATAATTTATTTTATATTATTATATTATTAAAAAAATAAAACATAAAATTTTTATATTAAATTAGTAATAAAATAAGAACTTCAATCATTTAAGAAAAAAGGATTTTTATTAAGAAACAAAAAGCTTATGATTATAGTGATTATAGTTTAGGTTGTTACGAAAGTCTTGAGCAATACATTCAACAAAGAATTAAAGCAGAATAATTACTGGTTTCTATTAATTTGCAATAATTATTAGATAGAAGTTTTAACAACGATAAATTTTATATATACTCGAATATATTATAAGTAGTGGAATTAATAATATTAAATTATTAGTTTTTAATTATTGAATTATATTGATATAAATTATAAATAAGTTTTTAATTTTAATTTTTTGAATTATATTTATAAAAAATAAATTTATTTAAACGTTTCGCAAACAAAGATAAAAAACAAGCAGTATTCAAAGTAAAAGAATAAATGAAAAATTTTGTTTTCATTTCTATTAGCTTTCATATTTTTCGCTTTAACGATCCGCTAGCAATCATAAACAAGTAGCGTATCATAAACAAGAAACTATTCAAAACCTTTTTTGAAAATTGAAATAGTTTATCAAAATTTTATCATAAGCATTTTCCAAATAATATCCAGATTTTTTATCAAATCTTGTTTTAAATCTCTAATATTTTTGTTAACCGGTCAACCATGACCTGCAAGAATTCATTTTGGGAGGTCGAAATAGCATTTTTTGTCATTTCAGGCGGTCGTTGACTGTTGATCGACCGTTATTTTCCATGCTGATATATATGTATATGTATGTATATACTATTGCTTAGTTGTTTTTAAGTTTTCCCATAAAATGTCAAGTTTATGTTGTTTTTTTTTAAGTTCATTTTAAAGACAGATAAAAGTTTAACAACTTTAAAAAGTTTTTTTTTCTACTTGTTTTATAGATTGCTTGCCCAAATCAAACCCTCTGTCAATGTAGCGGCAGGCTATAAGATGGTCGATGTTACAGCATGCTGTAAGATAGTTGAAACATTTAAAATGTTTTTAAAACATAAACATTGAACTCATATTTAATATATTTTTAATGAGAAATAGCAGTCATCCAATATTCAGCCCTCAAAATTAGGATTGGCATTCAGCAATTCGAAGCTGACAGTGTCTGAAGTCTGCAATTTTTTACTTACCTCTGAATTTTATAACTCAATTTTATTTGAATAAAATAAGTTTTCTTTGCATTCTAAATAAAATAATTAAAATTAAAAATGAATATACAAATATTTGATTTAGATTTAATTTATCGAACATAAGGGCATAGCGTATCTTTTATTTAAATTTTGAAGGATATAATTAAATAAAAATTTAATTTTTAAATTGAATTCTAAATTAAATAATACAAAAAACCCTGAAAAAACCAACCTTTTTTTTTTTCAAAATTAAAAAAAAAAAAAAATAGCATTAAGAACATTTTAAATAAAGTCTAAATTGCAATCTTTTAATTTAAAACCAAGCAATTAAAATAACATTGAAATAAAGGACTTTAAAAAATTCTGAACAAATTTGTTAAAAAACATAACAGCAAAAGGAATGTTTTTTATTTAAATTTTAAATAAAATTATTAAAATATAAACAAACAAAAAAATGAATATTTTAATTAAATTCTGAATTCAAAAAAAAAAAAAAAAAAAAAAAAAAAAAAAAAAAAAAAAAAAAAAAAAAAAAAAAATCTTAATAAAATAATTAAAATTAAACAAACAAACAAACAAAAAAACATTCTTTTTAAAATCCAAATAAAAACCTTTTATTTAATTTTTAAACCAAACAATTCAATTTAAGCAAAAACCAATGTTTGAAAGAAACATTTTGTGTTTTTTTGTACATAAAGTTAAATTCAAACAGTTTTTTCGTTCTGTCAATTTTATGCTTAACATTTATTGATTTGTCGAACCCTGTTTCAAATTATTGTACCTAAAATACCTGACCTAAAATGTTTTAATGTCTGCAATTTTTTGTTGATCTTATTTTTCCTAATTCCGAGGGCTGAATATTTCTAGCTGGAGTATAACGTTCAGAAAATTATTTTTCAAACTATTGTGACATCAGCATGAAAAATATAAAATGATAAAAAATATACATAATTAAACTTTCAGGTAGCCTAAAATATGATTAAAATATTTTTGTTTTAATTATTCTTAAAGATAATCATAAAAGTATGTATATTGCTTCAAGTCACAGCTACTAACTGTTAAAACAATGAAAAGGAAAAGAACAATGTACAGAAATGGAAATGCCTAGGGATAATATAAGCTCCAAGTAACAATCCAAATTTTTTTTTTAATTTATCGTTATAGTCATAACTTAAAGTCAAGAGAAATATAAAAGATGCAGTTTTTTAAGGTGGCATCCTCTATTGGAAAAATACAAGTATTTACTTTGTTATGCAAGTAATGTAAACAATTTCAAAAAATTGTTGTGAGTGCAACACTATAATTAGAGCATTTCATTTCTAAGAATCAAAAATTTTAATTAAATAATTTTATTAAAAGCTTATATACCTACATACCAGCATATACCTACCTAGCATAAAATACACACCACAAAAATGTAAAGTTACCAATAAAGTTATGAAAACAGTATGTTGTTACCAATCATATTCAACATTTAACATCCAAGTAGAAAAATGTTTGCTTTAATATTAGAGTTATACATCTCTAATATTAAAGCAAAATAAGTTTTTTTGACTTGATGTCTCTAAAAACTATTTTATTTTTTTTGTAGATTTTTATTTAGCCACACTATTATTTTTTTGTTAAGTATAATCCTTTATATTTTTCGGGGGGTTTAAATGTTGAAGTTGAAACTCTTTATTAATTTTATAAAAAATAGTTTTTAAGAAGGTGTTAATAATATCAATTTTATTTTTAGTAATATTTTTATTTCAGGGTTTTCCTGGACAAATTTTACCAAATCCACAAAATAGCTCTTTTCCTATTCCACCAAGAATGCAAGATGGCTATTTGCAACCTCCACCAAACTCGCACGGAAAAAACTTCTCAAACAATCAAAATTTCTCTTTACAAGATGGTTTAATGCCAACTCCATCTGATGGAAATAACAGATTCAATTCAATTAACAATTTAAATAATAGGAATGATCAGGGAAGGATGCGTCAAGGTATGGGAATTTTAGGTAATGGTCAAAGAATTGACGATTCACCAAGATCTATGCACCGTCAGGATGGAATTTTAGGAAGTCCAAACATTACAGATCGAAATTCTATTCAAAATAGAGTGCAAGATGAAAAAGTTTCATGGAATCAGTCAAAAAATATACCGTCTTTAATGGAACAAGTTTCACTGGATAAAAACAGATCTTATCAAGTTAGTAATCTGATATTTCTTTTAACTAATTAATTGCATCTCAAATAAGATTTTGTGTTTTTTTGTACATAAAGTTAAGGTTAATCTTGTTTTAAATATAATAAGTTAAGCATAAATACCAATACATCCTATAAATATTTTTCATTAATTGAAATTTACAAATTTACAAATGTGTACAGCCAGAAACCTTATCTGACCTTGCATATGATATTTTGTTTTGACAACTTGGCCACAATACTAAGTATGTTTTGATAATTTGTGTTTTAAAAATGCGCTGAAAAAACCAAACTAAACTAAAGAGAAAATTAAAAATAAACTAACCATAAACTGAAAAGAGAAGCGAAATCTTAACAAGTAATAAAACAAACATAAGATAAAACATAATAGCATGAAAATATATATTTTTTGATTTAAAAATGTTTCAATTGATGTTTTAAAGCTAATAAATTTTCACATATCACTTTGTCAGTGTAGCACTTAGATTGATTTAATGTTATATATATATACAGGCCTTGTCAGGAATGGTGGGCAATTGTCCATACCTTCCTCCACACCCGTGAAAGTCAGTTTACACTGGCAAAATTAAGCTTGTGCAAATATACAATTTTTATATTTTTTTAAACACCAAAACCTGATGTTTTTTTATGTTGAGATGTATTTTACTTACATAAACAAAAATAAATATCACATAATTATATAATAATGTGTTTATTCATTGTTATCGTTTTGTTACTGTCTTCAAGGTAACAAAGTTCGTAATTAAAGATTTTTTAAAATGTTTTAACATTTATTTTTATGGTTATCAAGTTATCTTTAAGCTATCATATGAAAGTAAAAAAGTAATTGAAAAAAAAATTTATTAAAATGGAACAGAAAAAGCTACCAAAACAAAGTACAGAAAGTAAAGCTAGAATTATTAAAGGTTTTTTTTCGGCCTGAAGCATTACTTTATAATAATTTGTATATTGAAATATTTTTTTACAATCCATTCATGTTAAGTTTTATATAAATAAACAGTTGGTTTGTTAAATTTATGTTGTCAATATAAATTGATTTAGTAAAAACAATATTTAATTGTTTTATTAGGCTAAAGATAATAAAAATATACCTGAGCAAAAATTAATTTTTTTAAACTTGCAAGATAAAATGTGTTAAACATTTTGTGATTCTAGATCTTGTTTCAATGTTGTAGAAACATGTTCTTACAATAATTTACTTCTACTTAAAAAGCATTTAAAGTTAACAAAAGTTTTAAACAAATAAGTAAATTAAATTTCCTACAAGATATCACTTCATATTGCTGATTATACGCTATTCACCAAAATTAAAAGTATTTTATATATTGATGTATAATTTATTAAGATATTAGAAAAAAAAATAGTGTTTTCTTGTACCAATTTGAAATTTGAAAAAAATAGTCATGCAGTTGAATGAAAGAAAATAAATGAATTCAAATTTTTATTGACTCTATTTTAGAGAAAATTAGGGCTTTTTATAAATTCTTTTTGTATATATTTTTTTGTATAAACAATCCTAAAGATTAAGGTTTTTTTTTAATTGTTGCTAAGTATAGCTTTCAAGTATTATTTTCATAAAATTATGTTTTGATATGTTATCCTGGTAGCAGGGATGTGGAGTCCCAAAAAGACTCTGGCTTTATATCTCTACTTTTTCCAAGTCTGTAGTGTTCAGAAGCTCTAAACATGTTTGTTGACTTGTTTGATGATTGTTCCTCTAACCTAAAAGTCTTAATTTTTTCCTATTAGTAGTTCATAAACTTATTTATATTTTTAGAGCTCCTGGATATTAAAAACTAAGATGAAGTAATCTTTTTGTGACTTTCAAATCCGGAGTCCTTTTTGGGATTCCGCATCCCTGCCTGGTAGAATATGAAGTTGTTTTTTCAATGTTGTAGTAGATAATTACTTTTAGAACATCACAATACATTAAAGCATCTATCCTCTGAAATGAGGTTGTATTTTGACCTATCTGATACTAAAACTTTTTTCATATCTAAAATCAGCATTTTTTGTACTTCTTAGTATACCCTTCAATTGATGCTTTATTTGTTTTAGACAAGTACATTTTTTTTTTCTTAATTTAACCTTGTAACCTTAATTTAACCATGTTCTTTATTACGTTTCTAATAGACTGTGATGTTATATGGTCTTCTTTTATTCAAGTGTTTCATTGATTTAGGTGTTTCTTTAATTAAGGTGTCTCTGTGATATCGTGGTCTTCTTGAACTTTTAAAGCTAGTTTAGCCGAATCAAATTTATTTTTCTTCGCATTAATGATGATATTGTGATCAATTGCACTAGTAGTCTTGCATTTTTGTACTCTGCCAGCCACACTAACAATGATTTCAATCATGTTTTTTTATGATTTAGGACAGTGTAATGAAAGGAATTCCAGTTTCTTTTTGGATCTAACAGTTGGGTTTTCCTATATTTTATTTATATATAGTTTTTATATATGTAGGGGTTTATAATGTATAGTTTTAAATTAAAAATATAAAATTTTAATGTTTTTTTGTTTGTTTGTTTTGTTTTGTTTTACAGTTTTTAAAAGATGATTTTTAATGAAATTTTTACACTGGTCATTCAAACTTATCAAAACATAAGAACATGTCAAAACATTTTTAAAAAATCTTCAATTACAAACTTTTTTACTGTAAAGACCCTCACAAAAATGTAACAATGAACATTTTTTCGTTTTTTTTTTTTAATAAAAAATGTAGTACTTCTTAAAACAATATTTTAAATATATTAAAATGCGCTAGATGTTTTTTACTATTTTTGTTTGTTTTGTAAGTAAAATAAGGCTCAATCTAAAAAACATTAAATTTTGCTGTTAAAAAAAAAAAAAAATTCTATTTGTCCAAGCTAAGCTTCGTTTGTGTTTACCCAGGTGAAATATAGCTTAAGCAAAAATATTTTTTTTTCCACACCTATGTAATGACTTACATAGGTGTGGAGGCTGGCAATTGCTTGCCATTCCGGCCGAGGCCTATATATATACACCTACATGATACATGTAGCTAATCTCATTTTAGCTTTTCTCTTTAATTTCGAATTTTTAAAATATTCTTGCCTATTATTTCTGTTACCTAATTTACCATTTCAAAGTTTTGTAATAATAAAAAACTTTAACATTTAATATATCAATAAAAATCATCTAATTTTCTTATTGCATTACTGATTATTAAAATTAAAAGGTTAAATGTCGCTTTTTTGTTTCTGTTTTTCTAAATTCAAAGCCATTTTTCACATCACACTAAGAAGGAAATTTTTGAAACTTCAAAACATATTAAATATAAAAGTGTGTCATCTTTCCAGCAATCTTTCCAGGTTGTTGATCCAATCAAAATAAAATAAGTTCTCAATGCGTAAGTATTATAGAATGAGTAAAACTCACTCTAATATTTGTTTCTTAAAATTTGTTTATTTACTTTTTTAAACAAAGAAAAGATCTGAATCAAAAGAAATACATGAAACAAAAGGACATTCAACCAAATGTTAGTTAATATTAGGTTTTTATATTTTTTAGGCTATGAATTAAAATTATTTTATTTTCATATTTAAGTATATTTTTCTGCCGGCCAAAGTCTATAAATATATATATATATATAAGTATGTATATATATATATATATATATATATATATATATATATATATATATATATATATATATATATATATATATATATATATATATATATACGAAAAAATTTTGGGAGGTGGTACATCCCCCTCCCCCGCTGTTTCCGCAGACTTTAGCAGAAAATCAGCATTTTTTTCGCGATATTTGCTGATATATATATATATATATATATATACACAGGTCTCGAAATAGCTGTCGTGCATCAGACATTGTCTAGCATTTGTCTTTTAAAAAATGACATCTATCAGTCATTTTGTCTGACCCATAATTTATATGCATTTATTTTATAATCATTTTAGTTGTTCCAAAATTAATAATAAATTCAGTATTATAAACTTTATTTTTTGAACTTTTTATTTTTTATACAAAGCAGAAATTAAAGTTGAAAACACAGCTACAATAATAAAATAAGTATTTTTAGAATTAATTCATTTTTTCAAGGACTTATTTAAGTAGCCTGCTTTTTATCATTTATATTTATATATTCCAACTAGTTATTGTTATTAGTTATAAATAGAAAAATTTATATTTTGGTATTTATTTTTTAGGCAATGGTTTTTATAAATTTCAAATGAATGTTTAAGCTTTTAAAACTCTTTTTAAATTTTAACATAATAGTTATTTTAATGCAAACTGTATTACGCTATTAAATTTGAGTTGTTATGTAACATTTATTTTTGCGCCAAAGTTTTTTGCTATTTTATAGTGTTTATAAAATTAAAGATAGAAAAATTTAGATTTTGAAAAGATTTATAAAAAAATACATATTTATATAAATGTAATTATGTAAAATATTCTTTGATAATTTAAATAAAATGGGTTTATTGTTTACAATCATTAGAAATAATTTTGTACTTTATTTAATAAAGTAATATTTATAATTTATAATAATTTACAAAGTATTTCACATAGTATAGTAATTTTTAAAAAACATAATAAATATATTTTCTTTTTCAAGTTTTAGTTGTTTAAGCTTAAGTTTTTTCTTTTACATTTAGACTTTCTTTTATAAGATTAGAAGTTATTTTATAAATTTTATTTTTATTTTCAGAGCATTTTGAAACACCTAAAGTTGTCAAAACAAATTGCGTGGTTAAGTTGTAAAAACAAAATATTTTATGCGAGGCATTCGATTAAACTTCTTTAGGTTTTATCGGACATGTTCGCCAAACAAGTTTTTATGTATATATACATGTTATGTGAATAAAAAAGTTTGATATTTTGATATATATATATATATATATATATATTTATATATATTTATTTATTTATACTATAGCGTATTTATATAAGCATTTGCTCACTTTTTTTGTTTATCTTAATTCATACAGCTTTT